CCCCATCTCCCTAGTACCCACCCCCATCCCTCCCCCACTCCCCCCACCCATCTCCCTAGTGATTACAAGCATACATTACCACATTCTGCTTTTTGATCTGGGTTCTAGGGACCATGCTCAGATCCTTGCTTGTGTAGCAAGCCCCTTCCTGTTGGAGCTACCTTCTAGCACCTCTCTCTCCTCTCCTCCTGCCCTTCACTCTGTAGCCCAGGCTGGCCTACAGCTCAGGCTGGCCTTGAACTCAGGCTCCCCCAGCTTCAGCCTCCTAAGTAACTAGAATTCCAAGCCCCTGCCCCCTGCCCACCTCTCGTGTGCTCTGTGAGCAGCATGTGTACGTTTGTACGTGTGTATGCGCAAGTCTGTGGCAGGCATACGCATGTGTGTACTTGCCTACGTGAGTGCAGCTGGAGGCCAAAGGTTGATGTCACATGTTTTCCTCTATTGCTTCTCTACATTAGTTTTCGAGACAATAAAACTAGGGATTACTATTTGTGCGAGACAGGCTGGCCAGCAAGCTCCCGTGAGTCACCTGCCTCTAGTCCCAGCTCTGGAGTCACAGATATGTTTAATCACACCCAGATGTTACTCAGGTTCTGGGAATCCAACTAATGCCCTCATACTGTGTGGTCTTCTCGTTAGCTTCAGCTGTCAACTTGACATAGCCCAGAGTGACCTAAAGGAGTCTGATTTGGGAGATTGCCTGCATCAGATTGGTCTGCACTTGTGTCTATGGGGCCATTTTCTTAATTGAATTGATGCATGAGGGCCCAGATCCCCATGGCTAGTACCATCCTTAGGCAGGGAGGCCCGGTCCTGGGCCCAGCTGGGAAGCTGAAGAGGTGGCTTAGTGGTTAAGAGCACTGGTCACTCCTCCAGAGGACCTGGGTTTGATTTCTACCACCCACATGGCAGCTTGCAACCATCTGTAACTCCAGTCTCAAGGGATCTAACACCTTCTTCTGGCCTCTGTGGAATGCTTGTGGTACACAGACATACATGCAGGCAAAACATCTATACCCATAATTTAAAAATTAAAAGAAAGGAGCCAGGCGGTGGTGGCACACGCCTTTCATCCCAGCACTTGGGAGGCAGAGGTAGGTGGATCTCTGTGAGTTCGAGGCCAGCCTGGTCTACAAGAGCTAGTTCCAGGACAGGCTCCAAAGCTACAGAGAAACCCTGTCTTGAAAAACCAAGAAAAAAAAAACCCAAAAAAATTAAAAGAAAGAAAGCAAGAAAGAGAGCCTACCTGAGGAGAGAGAGAGAGAGGGAGAGAGAGAAAGAGAGAGGGAGAGAGAGAGCACCAGTAAGCAGCATCCTCCTGGGTTTCTGCTTCTAGCTTCCGCCTCCAGTTTCCTCAATGATGGATTGTAACCTTGAGGTATAAAATGAAATAAAACCCTTTCCCTCCCCAAGTTGCCTTTGGTTATGGTATTTTTCATTTGTTTGTTTTTTTGAGACAGGGTTTCTCTGTGTCACCCCAGCTGTGTGGGACCTTGCTCTGTAGACCAGGCTGGCCTCGAACTCACAGAGTCCGTCTGTTTCTGCCCGCTAAGTGCTGGGATTAAAGGCGTGTGCTGGGATTAAAGGCGTGCGCCACCACTGCCCGGCTTGGTCTTGGTGTGTTTTTATCACAGCGATGGAAGAACAAACAAGGACACACAGCAAACATTTTACCAACAGGACCACAGAGTCTGTTGTGGTCCTTCCAGGGTCTCCTGGGGGATGAGCCGTTTTCTTCCTACACACACACACACACACACACACACACACGCACACGCACACCTCTCCTCCCGCCCGACTCCCCTCTGCTTCTGGTGGCCCATTCCTACTGTGCTAGAGGTGACTGATTTCCGTGTCCCACCGGCTTTGTTTGTCTTTATTAACCCGCAAGCTTAGGCGGTAGATTCACAAGAAATGGAGAGCATAGATAGGCTTACTCGTATCACACTTTAAACATAATCCCATAATCTCTGTGCGGGGGGCGGGGGGAGGATTAGATGCTCGTGTCTAAAGGTGGCTCTTACCCAGATGTACTTCGGCACACCCAAAGGTAAGCTTAAACCAAGTCAAAGATTTTGCAGAAGGATAGCCCATCTGAAAAGGTAGTGAGCATCTCACTGTGTATGCAAATTTGGAGAAGAAAGTCTCAACACTGGCATTTGGGGGAGATAAAGGAACTTGAAAACATGGGATGATTTTGGAAGGAATTACAAATTCACTCTGCAGCCTCAGCTGACCTTCAGTTTTCGTGTGTGTGTGTGTGTGTGTGTGTATGTGTAATGGTGTATATGTGCATGTATGCACATGCATGTGGAGACCAGAGGACAGACTCAAAAATCTTCCTCCGTCTCTCTCCACCTAGAGATAGGGCGCTCATTGACTGGATTAGACGGACTGGCCAGTGAGCCCCAAGGATCCAGTTGCGTCTGCCTCCCCAGGCTCTGGAGATCAATTTCAGGTCCTCATGCTTATGCAACAAGCTCTTCACCTACTGAGCCGTCTCCCTAGCTCCTAGCTCTCAGCTTTGGGTATGTGTGCACCCTCACACGTGATACGATGCACTTGTGGAGGTCAGAAGACATGTAGGTATCTGTTCTCTCCTTCTATTTTATGGGATCCATGAACTAAACTCACGTCGTCTTCAGGCGGTAAGCACCTTTACCCACTGGTCCATTTTGCTGGCCAGGTGACCTTACAGCTTTTGAATCTCCTGCCTCAGCCTCCAGAATGCTGGGGTTAATGCCACGGTACCTCAGTATTCCTAGCAAAGTCCCAGGTGTGGAGGATGCTCGAGGCTTACGCTTTGACTACATCTGAGTTCTGAAATATGAATCTATTGGCGGCACCAGCTCCTGGCTCCCGGGGTCACCGACCAACTCCCCATCCACGCTCATGTCTGCCCAGTGCCTGCCCAGAGGCTCATAATGGAGGCTAAGAACCACAGGAGAAGCTAATGGCAGAAGCACAGCGGGAGACTCCTCAGAAGCCCTTTCCCAGTAGGTTACAGTTACCATAGCAACATTCAGCTGTAGCCCAGGAGATCTGGGGCCAGAGAATCAGAGGATTGTTTGCCACGCTGAGGAGTGAGGGCAGTGGGGTTGCTCGGCCTCGCAGCACGTGGACTACAAACGTGAAGGGTGAGGCAGGAGCAAAGGCGTGGCTTTCAAAACCCCTCTCCCCCTCACTGCCCTGGACACCCTCCCGTTTCCCCCGTGAAGCCTCCCTTGGCTCCCAACAAACCCAGAGTTGAAACTTGGGTTGCATAACGGATCCAGGAACAGAGTGGGGGTGGGCGGGGGAACTCTATGCTTCAAGAACCACTTCTTAGGAGGTCAACTGACGCACATTAAAAACTATCCAATCCTTCTCGCTACCACCCGGGGCTGGGTTCCGAGTCCCGCTCTTCCCGCCCGCCCCCCTCCCCGGCCCAGGATCTATCCGATCTCACCCAGTCAGGTTGGTCTTGGAAATATGATCAACCATGGCAAAAGGCTCTGTTTGTTCTTGTCCCTGAGAACCGCCTCTTTGATTGTTGAACTTTGGACATGGTTCTGAGGGATTGGGTTTGTGGGGGAAGGAAGGAGGCAGGGATTGAAGGCCTGGATGTGGGAGGGACGGGGGAGGGAGGGGTATAAGCAATTTCAACACTTTAGGGAGGTCGGCCTGGTTCAAGGATTGAGCTTTGTGCTGGCCAGTCGCTGCTACCTCCTCTTCGACCGACCGTGCTCTGTTCAGGAGCGGCAGCACTGTGCTTTGGCTATTCAGCCTGCTGTTCTCACCTCACACAGCGGCATTTAAACTGAACGTGGGCAAGATGGACGTTCCTTTAAAATGTCCGTGTCTGAGATGTCTCTGTGGGTAAAGCCCTTCATAAATGTGAGGAACTGCGTTTTGATCCCCAGAACCCTCGGAAACCTGTATGTAGCTGCACATGTGGGATTCCAGCACTCCTACAGCGGAGCGGGAGGTGGGAACAGGAGCATCAAAGGGCCAGCGGGCTAGTCTGACCTAGGAAGAGAAGAATGAGAGGCCCTGCCCCAAACAAGGTGGAAAGCCATGACTGACACCCAAGGTTGTCCACACGTGTGTCTACATCCACGCATGCAATGCATGCACAGTCATCCACACCATGCACACACATCCACACATACAAGGCATACACACACATCCACATGTGAAATACATGCACACACATCCGCACATACAATGTGTGCACACACATTCACACCACACACACACATCTGCACATACAAGGCATGCACACACATCCACATGTGAAATGCATGCACACACATTCACACATGAAATGCATGCACGCACATGCTACAATCACATAATTTCCATTTCTACTTTGCATCCAGAGACTCTGGTTTAGTGGCTGGTGGGACACCCTAAGGATTGGCAGGTGTTTCCTTTCTTTCCTTTCTTTTCTTTCTTTCTTTTTTTTTTTCTTTATCCATACTGGAGGTTGAACCTAAGGTCTCACATATATCAGGCAAATGCTCTACCACTGAGTGATTTCCTCAGTCTTTTTTTATTTTTTATTTTTAGAAAGGGTCTCATTACGTCATCTAGAACGTCCTTGAACTGATAAAAGTAGCCCAGGCAGAAAGATTTCAAACTGGCAGCCATGCTTGCATGCTTGTCTGCATGTGGAAGTCAGAGCTCTTCCTTAGGTGTGGTTCTTCAGGAGCTGCCGCCCCTGTTTCGTGATATAGTGTCTCTGACTGGGGCCTGGGACTCACTGATTAAGTTCTGTTAGGCTACCTGGCCGGCAAGTCATGGGTCTGCCTGTCTCAGTCCCTACACTGAGAGGACAAATGGCACAGCCATGCCTGGCTTTAGGACATGGGTTCTGGGGATCAAACTCAGGCTGTCAAGCTTGCAAGGCAAGCACTTGCTCACTGAACCATCTCCCTCATCCAAGAGTAGCATATTTATTGATTTATTTACATATATGGGGAGGAGGGGTTCAAGACAGGGTTTCTCTACATAGCCCTGGCTGTCCTGGAACTAGCTCTGTAGACCAGGCTGGCCTCGAACTCACAGAGATCTGCCTGCCTCTACCTCCCGAGTGCTGGGATTAAAAAAATGGTGTTTTAAAGGAGACTCGATAATTCAGATGCAGGTGACCTGCTGATGGTCCTATGCGGACTTCTGGAGCTATTTTCTCCCTGCCTTTCCTTCTAGGTCCCGTTCCATTCTCTTATCTGTTGCCTGGGAACTCCAGCACTGTCTCCAGACAGTGTGTCTCCAGCTGGCCCCAGCAGGCCAGCTCAGCCAGCAGCCAGCAGGCTGCACTCTGGTCTACTGTGCCCATCACCCAGGAAGCCAGTCTCTAGGAGTTCACTGTAGAAAACAGCAGAACGAAGGAGCATCGCACAGTCAGGAATTAAGAACCACAAAGGTCTGCTTCTCCGTTTTCTTGCCTATAAAATTAGAGGCCAAGCACTCAACAATTGGCCTTCAGGGAGCTAGGCCTGCTGACCACAGGTCTGTTGTCCCATACACCTGGGAGGCTGAGCCAGGGGAATGGAGATGTTTAGGGCCTGGCCAGGCTACAGAGCAATTTCAAGGTCAGTATGGGAGACTTAGTGAGATCCTGTTTCAAAACAGACAACCAGAACAGGGCTGGGGAATGTAACATAATGGTAGAACGCTTTCCTAGCAACCCCCGATGAGGGGCAAGGGGCATAGCTCAGCAATAGAGGGTTTACATTTTGTCTGCCAATGGGGGATGGGGCGTGGTCAATGGTAGAGCACCTGCCTAGAACCCCCCAGTGAGGGGCTAAGGGTGTGGTTCAGTGGTAGAGCCACTGCCTAGAATCCCCCAGTGAGGGGCTGGGGTGTGGCTAATTGGTAGAGCACCTGCCTAGAATCCCCCAGTAAGGGGCTAGTGTGTGGCTCAGTAAAGCACTTAACTTTGCATGCCTAAAATTCAATTTTCAGTAACGTACACATCAAAAACACAAATAATGACTGATAATAATATTATCAAATAATACAAATAATACACACACATACCACATTTTTTGATATAGGGTCTCATTCCGATGATCTTACTGTCAGGGTGTTATCCAGCTTGACCCAGAACTCACATGTAACCCAGGCTGGCCTTCAACTTGTAGCAATCCTCCTATCTCACTATCTCAGCTTCCTGAAGGCTAGGATTACAGTCATGGGCCGAGATGCCATTGTGCGTGCTTGCCTGGCATGTATGAAGCTCTGGGTTTAGTTACCAGCATCCTAACACCAGGTATGATGGTGCATGCTACCACAGGAGTTCAAGATCACCCCTGACAACTTAGGTTTGTAGCCAGCCTGGACTGCACAGGACCCTGTCTCGGAGGGGTGGATGGACGGACAGACGGACGGACAGACAGACAGATGGATGGATGGATGAATGGATAAATGGATGGATGTATAGATAGAAGATAGTGGACAGAAAAAAATTAGATTTGTAATAGACACATAAACAAACAATAGACAATTGACTGATAGATAATTGACATAATAAACCATGAAATACCCCTTGTTACCTGCCACTGTTTTTGATTTTCAGAAGTCTCCTTCTTTGTGTGTGTGTGTGTGTGTGTGTGTGTGTGTGTGTGTGTGCTGAGAGGTTACACCCAGGGCCTCCTACATGCCAGCTAGCGTTGGCCTACAGCTCCAGTCCTTAAAAGATGTCTTCAACCTTTATTTATTGTGTGTGCAGGCGGGCGTGTGAGTGACACAACATGCTTGTAGATGTCAGAGATGCCCACCGCAGTCAATTCTCACCACCATGTGGGTTTTAAGGATCAAATGAGGTCACCAGGCTTGGATGTGAGTACCGTTACCTAGTGGACCATCTTGCTTCTACCTCCATTTGTGTGTGTGTGTGTGTGTGTGTGTGTGTGTGTGTGTGTGTGTGTGTGTGTGTGTTTTGAGATAAGGTTTCTCAGTGTAGTCCTGTAAACCAGGCTGGCCTTGAACTCACAGAGATCCTCCTGTCTCTGCCTTCTGAGTGCTGAGATTAAAGGTGTGTGCCATGACTGCTTGGCCCTTTTTTTCCACCGTCCTCTTCTTTTTGAGACAAAGTCTTGCTATGTAGCATAGTCTGGCCCTGAAATCCCCAGGGCGTCAGCCTCTTGAGCTGCACCCAGCTGTGTTTAGATTTCCCCTAAGACAGCCCTGCATTTCAGTGTTGGGGATCAATACTCAAATTTGGTCTCAGGGAGACTTCACCCCAGAGGCAGCACTTGGGGCCTCCAAGCAACCCTCTGCTTCCGGAATGAGGGTGGTGGTAGGGTCATTGTCTCACAAGGAAAGAAATCTAACCGGGCCCTCCCATTCAGTCCGGGGACAATTACAGGATTATTTTCATTGTTTTGGCAAGGTAGACTTAACCAAACAGGCCAAGAGAAAAAAAGATGATGTTATAGCTGAGGGAAGAGAAGCGGGCCTGGCCTCATTTCCCAATCATGTTTTTGTAAACAATTAACTCAGAAGAGAGTCCTATAAGCACCCTCCTTATGCCTGACTCCTAGTGCACACATGTTGAGCACATCCTAGGTTTGAAGATGGGGTCTCATTGACTGAGCTCCAGCTCCTTAGGGTCATGCATCAGCTAGGCAGGTGCTCTCCCACTGAGCCACACCCCAGCCCCTCACTGGGGGATTCTAGGCAGGGCTCTACCTCTGAGACACGCCCTAGCCCCTCACTGGGAATTATAGGCAGGGGTTCTACCACTGAGCCACACCCCAGCCCCGCACTGGGGGATTCTAGGCAGGGCTCTACCTCTGAGCCACACCCTAGACCCTCACTGGGAATTCTAGGCAGGGGTTCTACCACTGAGCCACACCCTAGCCCCTCACTGGGGGATTCTAGGCAGGGGCTCTCCCACTGAACCACATCACTGTCTCTGCATGTATTTTATATCCATTTACTATGAGCGTATGTGGTTCTGGGGGTATAGAACTATAGGAATAAGAGTGACTCTCCCAGGCTCAAACTCACCCTGCAGCCAGCCAGCCAGCACTCTTGTGCTCCCTCTGCCCACCATGCTCCTGGGGATTGGTTGGCAAGCCCAGACCTGCACAGGCCAGCTGTATGTCTCGCCCAAAGCCATTTCCTTCACTGACTTGGCTGCCCCCAGGAAGGAATTAGTATTTTCTGAAGTTTCTGTGACCCACAAAGCCCTGTTTAAAGTACCCAGCCCTCAGTTTGGGGGTTTGTGGTCAGAAATCAGCACAACTGTACAGAGGATTGAAGATTGGGTCAGTGGCATGAAAAAAACAGAAGATGCTGGAGATCATCAGCCAAAAGCTTAATGCAGAGGTTATCTGCATGCAAGAAAAAGATCATCCCCTAACTTTCCACTTTGCAGATGAGAAGACAGATCAGAGAGGAGGCAGCATTTGCCTGGAGTCACACAGCATCCCCAGCTACTGTTTTCCCACTCCAAATCCAGGCCTGGGTACAGGTAAGCACCTCCCTCAGTTTCTGCCCTCTTCCACTATGGCAGGAGTTGGGGGTAGGCACACACTACTGTCACCTCAGCTTAGCTCTGGTTTGCTGAACCAGGCTTTCATCAGAGGGACAAGACTGCACGCAGGAGCTCCAGCAGGCTCGGATTCTTCCGCCAACTCACACTGCCCTTTTCCCAAACTGAGGAGGTACCCACCTGAGGATCTGGGGTGTGAGCACGGCAGGCAGAGCTAAGAAGCACAGCCAGGTCCTGTCCTAATGATTGTCTCCACGTCCCAGGGCTTAAGCCCCTCCATGGCCCTTTATGAACCAGCGGGGTGTGGCGTGAGAGAGGGAAAGGGTGCGGCTGAAGACACCTGCACTGAGACACGCCCTCTCCCGGCCCTGCCAGGGGACGTGCTGAGGCTGGACTTGATACTGGAGCTGCCTCTTGGATGACCGAGGCCCTCCCTGAAAACCACAGCGGTCCCATCCTGTCAAGTTCATGGCTCCCACCGGCTCCAGAGTCGCTTAGGGATGGGTTTCACAGGGACGAGTGACCTGTCCAGCTCCCTACAGTCCTACAGCCCTTCCTCAGAGGCTCGGAACCCTGCATCAGGAGCAAGGACTCCTCCCCCCTCTTCCTTTTCCCTCCCTCCTTCATTCCCTTTCTCTCTCTCTCTCTCTCTCTCTCTCTCTCTCTCTCTTCTTCCTTTCCTCCCTCCTATTTTGTTTTTTAAATCTATCTTTATCTTTTTTTTTTTTTCCCTTAGATCGGGTTTTGCTATGTAGCCTTGGCTGGCCTGAAGCTCAGAAAGAGTTTCTGTTTTGTTTGTTTGTTTTTGGGACAGGGTTTCTCTGTAGCTTTGGAGCCTGTCCTGGAACTCGCTCTGTAGACCAGGCTGGTCTTGAACTCGCAGAGATCTTCCTGCCTCTGCCACCTAAGGGCTAGCTTTAAAGCTGAGCACTACACCACTCTTTAGGCTCAGTCTTTCTCTTGACTAAAGATAATTTTATTTGCAAACATCAAATTGTTCCACTGCTTCAGCGTTTTCTTCTCCCACAACCCAAAAGTTGCAGGACTGGATCACCTCTCCCTTTCTCTCTGTCTCCTCCCAGTTCAAAATGCTTGCATCTCTTGGGGGCCAGCATCCTCTTGTTCTGTGTTACGCTCAACACGCTCAGCCCTGAGCAGAGGCTTCACTGAGGTTGCCGCCTCCTTTCAGGAAATCGGTTCCCTGCACATTGGACGACTTTGCATCTCGTTACAACCCTCTCCCTCTTTTTAAGATTGTTGTTTTGGGGGGCTAGAGCGATGGCTCAGTGGTTAAGAGCACTGACTGTTCTTCCAGAGGACCCAAGTTTAATTCCCAGCACCCACATGGCAGCTCACAACTGTCTGAAGATCCAGTTGCAGGGGATCTGACACCTTCACACCAACGCACATAAAATAAAGTTAAATAAGTCACAAAAATTTTTTTTAAAAAAAAGATTGCTGTTTTGTTTTTGTTTTTTTACTATTTTTACGTGTGTGTGTGTGTGTGTGTGTGTGTGTGTGTGTGTGTGTAGCTCAGAAAAAGGTATTGGTTTCCCTGAAGCCAAAGTTACAGGTGGTTGTGAGCCTCCCAACAGGGGCATTGGGAACTGAACTCAAGTTCCCTGTAAGAAAAGCACATGTCATTAACAATTGAGCCATCTCTCTAGGCCCTCATCACAATTGGTCTTAGACTCGGTCACTCTGTGAGGGTGGCAATTGCCACACTTCGTATAGATTTTTTGGGTTTTAGGAACATGTGACTATCTTTGCAGTAGAGGTGTCAGCAGGATGAGGGCGTGAGACTCTGGTGTCTGCAGGATGAGGGCGCTAGAGCCAGGGGTCAGCAGGATGAGGGCGCTAGAGCCAGGGGTCTGCAGGATGAGGGCGCTAGAGCCAG